CCAGTGTTGTGGTGGGCACCTGTAGTCCCAGCTACTCAGGAGGCTGAGGCAAGAGAATCACCTAAGCCCAAGAGCTGGAGGTTGCTGTGAGCTGGGATGCCACAGCACTCTACTGAGGGCAACAAAGTGAAACTCTGTCTCTAAAAAAATAAAAACTAAAAAGCGTCTAACCCCCAGAGTTCTCAAGGCAGGAGTAATGTCTTAGTCATTTTTCACTCAACAAGGCCTAACACTGTGCATGAGGTGTAGCAAGCTTTCAATGTCTAAGTACGCAAATGAACAAAGATAATACATATAAAAGCAGTTCTTAACTATCAAGGGCTATACAAATGTTTTGTTTGTTAATTCTTATCTTTAGAGGGTTTCCAAGTAAAATATGATAAACTTGCTTTAATAGTAACAGTAAGTGGCTTGGTGCCCGTAGCATAGTGGTTACGGCACCAGCCACATACACCAAAGCTGGCGGGTTCAAACTCAGCCTGGGCCAGCTAAACAACTGCAACAAAAAAATAGCTGGGCATTGTGGTGGGTGCCTGTAGTCCCAGCTACTTGGGAGGCTGAGGCATGAGGATCTCTTAAGCCCAGGAGTTGGAAGTTGCTGTGAGCTGTGACACCATGGCACGCTACCAAGGGTGACATAGTGAGACTCTGTCTCAAAAATAATAATAATAATAATAACAGTAAGTTTAAAGAAGAAAAGTTTAGGATGGGCATAGTGGCTCATACCTGTAATCCCAGCACTCTAGGAGGCCAAGGCAGGCAGATCATCTGAGCTCACGAGTTTGAGACGAGCCTGAGCAAAACCAAGACCCAGACTCTAAAAATAGCCAGGCATTGTGGCGGTGCCTGTAATTCCAGCTACTCAGGAGGCTGAGGCAAGAGAAACTGCTTGACCCCAGGAGTCTGAAATTGCTATGAGCTGTGAAGCCATGATACTGTACAGGAGGGTAACAAAGTTAAGACTCTGTCTCAAAAAATAAAAAAAATAAATAAATTTTAAAAATAAAGAAGAGAAGTTAATTGCATACGAAGGACAGTTAGAAACAAGATTGGTATGTCAAGTGTTTAGCACAGTGCCTAATACATAAAGCACACAATAAATGCTAAGTTCTTTTTGAAAGCAAAACGTGGCTGGGCCTAGAGGCTTAGACCTGTAATCCTAACACTTTGAATGGCAAGGCAAGAGGATCACTTGAGCCCAGGAATCTGAGACTGCAGTGAGTGAGCTATGACACCACTGCACTCTAGTTGAGGCAACAGAGTGATATCCTGTCCTAAAACATAAAACAAATAAACAAAAAAGATTTAATGCAGAGGTTCTCAACCTGTGTGTCACAACCCCCTTCCTCTGTAACAATGAAAATACATCGCGGCGTTAGGAAGGTTGAGAACCACAGATTTAATGGCAAATTTTATGTATATTTTACCACAATAAATAATATATATAGATATGTATATTAAAATTTCAGAATATAACAATTATTTATTTTGCTTACCTAATGCAGCAGTTCTTAGGAATATGAGGTAGAACCCTGGAGATTCCTAAGACTCTTGCAGGGACTTTAGAAGACAAAAATATTTCCCTAATAATATTAAGACATGGCCGGCACAGTGACTCACAGCTATAGCACTCTGGGAGGCTTAGGTGGGTGGACTACTTAAGCTCAGGAGCACAAGACCAGCCTGAGCAAAAGAGATGCCCCATCTCTGCCAAAACTAGAAAAGCTAGCTGGGTGTCGTGGCAGGTACTTACAGTCCCAGCTACTCAGGAGGCTGAGGCAAGAGGATTGCTCAAACCTAAAGAGTTTGAGGTTGCTATGAGCTATGACACCACAGAACTCTATCCAGAGTGACAGAGTGAGACTCTCTCAAAATGATGATAATAATAATACTAAAACATTTTCTGCCTTTTTCTATCTCATTCACTCACAAGTATACAGTGCAATTTTCTAAAGGCTTCTATCAAGCCAGACGTTGAAGAGATTTGGGGAAAAAATGTAATAAAATAATACCATTCATTATATTTTTTTTGTTTGGGAAAATAGTTATTTTTCATTAAAAATATGTACAACAGGAGCAGTGGCTCACGCCTGGAATCCTAGCACTCTGGGACACCAAGGGAGGGGGTACTGCTTGAGTTCAGGAGTTGGTGACCAGACTGGGCAAGAGAAAGACCCTGTCTGTAAAAAAACAGCCGGGTATGGTGGCGGGCACCTGTAGTCCCAGCTACTTGGGAGGCAAGAAGATCACTTGAGCCCAAGAGTTTGAGGTTGCTATGAGCTGTGGCGTCATAGCAACCTACTGAGGGTGACAAAGTGAGACTCTCTCAAAAAAAAAAAAAAAAAAAAGAAAAGTTATATTCACATTTAACATGGGTTATTTTGTTTGTTTGTTTGTTGCCTTTTTTTTGTTTTTTCTTTTTTGAGACAGAGTCTTACTATGTCGCCCTCAGTACAGTGCTATGGTGTCACAGCTCACAACAACTTCAAACTCTTGGGCTTAAGCAATTCTCTTGCCTCAGCCTCCCAAGCAGCTGGGACTACAGATGCCCACCACAACACCCAGCTATTTTGTGTTGCAGTTGTCACTGTTGTTTAGCTGGCCTGACCCAGGTTCAAACCCACAACCCTTGTTACATGTGGCCAGCACAGTAACCACTGTGCTACAGGCACTGAGGCAACATGGTTACTGTTTTTATCATTTTTTTTTTCCAAGACAGGGTCTCACTATGTTGCCCAAATGGAATGCAATAGGCATGAACAGGCATACCACAGCCTCATATTCCAGAATTCAAGTGATCCTCCTGCCTTAGCCTCCCAGGTAACTGTAACTACAAGTGTGTACCATCATGCCCAGATGTTGTTATTTCTAAATTAACTAAATAAATATTTCAAAATACTCAATTTTAATTTCTAATGTGGTAAATATCAATAGCAAAAAGTAGTCACATAAATGAAAGCCCGTTAGAATACTCAGTGATTTATAAAAATGTGAGGAGGTCCCTGAAACTACAAAGTTTGAAAACTGCTGATCTAATGACATCATTCCAAAAGTGTTTCTTCATCTTTTAGTTAATTGCTAAAATATCCTGATCCTTGACCTATAGAGATATATAACCCTCACCTGCTGTCCATTACGGATAAAAGTTCCAAACCAAGTCCGGACTTTGGCATTTGTTCCAAGAAGCAAACCACTAACAAAACAAACCAAGTCACTCACTCCATCTTCACAAGCTTCATTTTTAGTATGATCCAATGTCAAAGCCACACCAAGGCCTGGCAAGTGGCACTCTTCCACCTAACACAGCAAGGAAAATAAATTGAATTCAGAATCTTATGGAAATGGGCCAGAAAGCTCCAAAATCTAAACTATCTAATGTTTAGAGGAAGAAATCTCACAAAACATAAGAACCAAAAGGAAAATAATACATCCAGTATATATTTAAAATTCTGAATCTCAACAAGATGCTAAAACCATCTTGGAATAGTTCTTAGCCCTAATATAGAGGCCTCTGTCTCATAAAAACAATATCATCTCTTACCACCATGCCTCGGACCTTGAGGGCCTGAGAAGGATTCATTTTACACAAGAAGCGTAAGGCATCTGTCCTGCGCCTTCCTCCAAGACTTTCTTCATCTTGTCGTTCTCCATTTTTAATCAGGCCCCTACAAACTAAGACGATATAAACCATTTTGTTCAGCATTGAGAACTAGTAATTTATGCAGAATAGACACTACAGGAGAAAAAGATCAGGGAACCTAAAAACACTGCAAAACAAATAGTAACCTGTGCAACAATATCACAAACATACCTGCAATTATAGCCTCAGAGAGATAAAGGAGTAAAAGACAAAAATAAATTTGAAGAAATTTCCCCCAATTTAATGAAAACTATAAACCCAGATGCTCAATTAACCCCAAGCAGACAAATATTAAAAAAAAAATCATACCAAGAGACATCATAATCAAATTTCTGAAAACTGTTGATAAAGAGAAAATCTTAACAGTAGTCAGAAGAAATAAAAAAAAAAGTAGCCAGAGAGGGGGGAATAATGTTATACAGGAACAGAGATAAAAATTACTGTACACAACAGAATTTAAATAGCTAAAAGAAAATGTCACCTTAAAACTTTATGCCCAGTGAAAATACCTTTCAAACCTGAGGGGTTTTTTTTGGCTTGGCGCCTGTGGCTCAAGTGGCTAAGGCGCCAGTCACATACACCTAAGGTGGCGGGTTCAAATCCAGCCTGGCCTGCCAAACAACAACGATGGCTGCAACCAAAAAATGGTGGGGCTTTGTGGTGGATGCCTGTAGTCCCAGCTACTTGGGAGGCAGAGGCAGGAGACTCACTTGAGCCCACGAGCTGGAGGTTGCTGTGAGCTGTGATGCTATAGCACTCTACCCAGGGGAACAGCCTGAGGTTCTGTCTCAAAAAAAAAAAAAAAAACTGAGGTTTTTTCCACATCAAAAGAGCTAGGAAAATCTGCTGCCAGCAAAAAATAAAGCTGAGGTTGGGTGCCCATAGCTCAGCGATTGGGCACCAGCCACATGCTCTAGGGCTGGTGGGTTCGAAGCTGGCCAGGCATGCCAAACCAAAAAAAAAACAGCTGAGCATTGCGGTGGGTGCCTGTAGTCCCAGCTACTAGGGAGGCTGAGGCAAAAGAATCTCTTGACCCCAAGAGTTTGAGGTTGCTGTGAGCTATGACGTTACAGCACTCTACCAAAGGTGACAAAGTGAGACTATCTCAATAAAAAACCTAATAAAAATATAAAATAAAGCTGGCCACAGTAACATGCACCTGTAATGCCAGCTACTCAAGAGGCTGAGGGAGGATGATCACTCGGGGCAGGAAGATCACTCAAGCCAGAGAGTTTGGGACCAACCTGGGCAACATGAAACCTCATTTCTAAAAGAAAAGAAAAGAAATGAAGTTCTTCAAGCTAAGGAGAAACTATACCTGATGGAAATGTAGAGCTAAATAAAGGAATGAAAAGCACCAAAAATGGTAAATACAGGGATAAGGAAAGACTTTTTCCCCCTCTCCTTTTAGAATTTACAATCTAAATGTTTAGAGCAAAGGTAATAACAATGTACTGTAAGGTTTATAACACATGTAGGAGTAAAAGCTATTAAGACCACAGCAGCACAAAGGACAAGAGAAAAAAAGGAACAAATAGAAAACAAATAATAAAGTGACAGACTTAACCCTAACACCACAATAATCACACTACATGGTCTACATATGTGGTCTACACACTCCAACTAAATGACTGAGACTGACACAAGATTACCAAAAATAAGACCCAAATATTCCTGCCCACAAGAAATCCACCTTAAATAAACTGTTGGATTAAAAATGAAGAAATATATATGCCATGCAAACACTAACTGAACACATAAGAATGATGACATGGCTGTACTTATCAGATAAAGTAGACAGGCTTCAAAAGAAGGAATATTACTAGATAAAGAAGTGTATTTCATAGTGAGGAAAAAAGTTGAATTCATCAGAAAGATTTAACAATCCCAAATATACATGACCCAAGTACCAGAACTTCAAATTACATGAAGCAAAAACTGAAAGAAAAGGAAAATAGACAAATCCACAATTATATTTGGAGGCATCAATGTTCCTCTCTCTCAGTAACTGAAAGGGCAAATTGGCAGAAAATCAGCTGGGACACAGTTTACAAAGAACTATTTACAAAGATATCCAGTAACTTTATTAGAAAAGTAAGGGAAATTGTATCATCAATATCTCCATTTAACAGATGAGAAGTTGGGCAGCACTTGTGGCTCAGCGAGTAGGGCACCAGCCCCATATACCAAGGGTAACAGGTTCAAACCCAGCCCCAGCCAAACTGCAACAAAAAATAGACGGGTGTTGTGGCAGGCACCTATAGTCCCAGCTACTCAGGAGGCTGAGGTAAGAGAATCACCTAAACCCCAGAGCTGGAGGTTGCCGTCAGCTGTGATGTCATAGCATTCCACCCAGGGTGACAGAGTAAGACTCTGTCTCTTAAAAAAAAAAAAAAAAAGTGGGCAGTGCCTGTGGCTCAAAGGAGTAGGGCACCGGTCCCATATGCCGGAGGTGGTGGGTTCAAACCCAGCCCCGGCCAAAAACTGCGGAAAAAAAAAAAAAAAAAGTAAGAAGTATCTTTTTTTTGGAGTCTCACTATGTTGTCCTCAGTAGAGTGCCATGGCGTCACAGCTCACAGCAACCTCTAACTCTGGGGCTTAAGCCATTCTCTTGCCTCAGCCTCCCAAGTAGCTGGGATTACAGGCACCCACCACAACACCAGCTATTTTTTTGTTGTAGTTGTCATTGTTGTGTGGCAGGCCCTGGCTGGGTTCAAACCCTCCAGCCCCAGTGTATATGGCTGGCACCCTAGCCACTGAGCTACAGGCACTGAGCCAGAAGTTAAGTATCTTGATGGAGATCACACAATGAGTGACAAGTCAGGAATTACAACCCCAGATCCAGTGCTTCTACCCCTCCCAGCTCCCAATTCACAATTTACCTTGCTTAACAAATGCTATTTCTATTTTTGTATCACCCATACCCAAACAATAATCTTCAATCACTACAAGTATACAATAAAGGTGAAAATTTTGACTTGCTTTTTCTCAATTCCTACCCTATACTTTTCTGCAGACTAACAGCAATATGGCTTAACCACAGTCTCACAGTTGGTATTTCTGATTATACATATCTAATATTTCTCTCTGGCCACTTCATGGATGTACCTCTTCCCCTTTGCTCCCTGAGCAAAAAGATGGTGTCTTAGTTTCTTGGTACTTTATACTGTCATATTATAGCACTGCTGACTAATAGCAAAAAAAATTATTTTTGCCACACACTCAACTATGATTAGATTGCAATGTCAATACCAATTTTTAAATCTCTAAACTCAATATTTCTACAATAAATCTGTTCTAATAAGCTTTCAAAAGATAAAATCTCAAGTAAAATCTCATAAATCTTTCTTCTTAGCTCAAAAAATTAGATTCTATATATGCCCAAGCAAACCTCTTCCAATATCCTACTTTTCTTAATTATATTTACCTTCATTAAAACTATCAGGAACATTGGCCACCAAGAGACACAAGAACCAGGCACCATTTCTAACATGGAGCAAGGCTTCAGCGACATCAACTATAGGAAGTAAGGAAGGGAGCTCTACAAGAAAACAAAGCATTACTATTAAAAAAATATTTCATTGCATTAAACATCTTTTGGCACTCCACACAGGTCTTCAAAAAGCAATTAAATAGAAGTACTTTCTTTTCATACTCTGGAGCTGCCCAGTAAGGCACATGGGCCTATTTTAAGTAAACTAAAGTCAAAGTAGTTCAGTTCTTCAGTCACACTAGCCACATTACAAGTAATTCACAGCCATGTATGGCTAGTGGCTACTATACTGGACTGCACAACACAGACCATGTTATTAGAAGATCTAAACAGTTTCATGAAAATCTTTGTATTATACTTTTTTTTTTTT